CTAGGCTTCCTGAGCCTACCAAGTCATGGTATTATTAGCCAATCTTTAAAACTAGGGGAAACTGACTTGGAAGAAAAGTATTTGAAATAGATTAGCCAACTATACTTCAAAAGTATGAAAACCACTCTTTTTAAAACTTTTATTCTTAAAATATTTGGAAATATTTCATACTAATGTAATATAGAGAGAGTAATGCCATAAATGTAAATATACCCAACAATCAACTTATGAAATAAAATATTATCAATATACAAGGTTGAGGCCCTTGTGTTCTTCCCCCAATTTTATCTTCCTCTCTCTAGAGGTACCCGAATTCAATGTTATTAATTCCCATGCACTTTTTAATATTTTACTTCATAAACCTGCATTTATAATGGCATTTCTTGGGCCGACCCCATGGCGCACTCGGGAGAGCGCAGTGCGGGCGACACCAAGCAAAGGGTTGCGATCCCCTTACCGGTCACATAAAGGACAAAAAATAAAATAAAAATTTTTAAAAAATGGCATTTCTTTTTACAAAATATACAACCAAATACCTCATTTTTAAAAACCTACTTTAATGGTTTCAAAATATACCATTCTTTTCTAGTTTCCTTTTTTTGGTTTAATGTTTTGTTGTGAAAGTTAAAAATGGGTATGTTCTTAGAATNTGTGTATCCTCCACTGCTGAGTTTCTTAGACCTGTGGGTTTATAGGTTTCAGAAAAGTTGAGAAAATTTCTGCCATTATTTTTTCAAATATTTTTTTCTACCTGACCATCCCTTCCTCTTTTGGGATTCCAATACACATATATTATACTGCTTGATATTTTCTCACAGTTCACTGAGGTTCTGAAAATTTTTTAAATATTTTTTCTATGATTAATTTTAGATAGTTTCTATTGTTATATATTCAGTTTTTTAATCTTTTGCAGTGTTTAATTGTTTTATTTCTCTCATAATTTTTATGTCTTCTTTTAACTTTTTGAATTTATTTCATCTAGTTTTTTAATGTCCTTGTCTGTTAATTCCTATATTTTTGTTGTTTCTGTATCTGTTTTTATTGTATGGTTTTTCTCCTGGTCTGGTAATTTTTGATTGGATATTGGAAATTGTGTGCTATGTTGTTGAATGTCTGGATTTCGTTGTCTTCCTTAAAAGAATATAGAATTTCGTTTTTGTAGGCATTTAAATTACGTGTAGATCAGCTTGATTTTTTTAATGATTGTTTTAAAGTGTTACTGGGGTGGATCTATAATAGCCTTTATTCCGGAGTTATTTTAGTGCCACTATTTAGGCATGAAACTTCTTGGCACTCCACTGAACATGTATTGTAACCAACAAGGCCTCTATCATTTGATTGGTCAGAACTTGTATACCTCTCCGTCTTGAGTAAGCTCTCAGAATTATTTAGCCTACAACTTGTGGTAGGCAGAATTCTAAGATGGCTCCCCAAGACACTCATCTTTTTAAAATCCCCTCTCATTGGGTTTGGAAAGAACCTCTGAATATGATCACTGCTGTGACTGTATTACTTTATATTGCAAAAGGAGGATTATCTAAGGCAGGTCTGACTTCATCTGGTAAGCCCTTTAAAAGAGATTTCTCCAGCTGATTGCAGAGTAAAAATCCAATATCTGAAAAAGTTGATTTATGTATTTATTTATTTAGTCCAAATGTCTAGTTGCTTATGGTGGGAAAGCAAGTCTGGTACCAGTTACTATACTGGCAAGTTTTTAAGTGAACAGTGCTAGTAAATTCACTTGTCTTTTGAAGGTATTACAATAATTATAACTAGAACCTCTTTTCTTGGACTTAACCACCCCCACATCTTCTTGTTTCCCAGCCTGCATGAAACAGATCAGTGGTGTACAGATATTTATGCTTCATTATTACCAAGTCCAGATTCTATTTAATTTGCCTATACACAAAAATCCTGCAGATTTTTTTTACATATGATACAATCTCTAGGCTTCCTGAGCCTACCAAGTCATGGTATTATTAGCCAATCTTTAAAACTAGGGGAAACTGACTTGGAAGAAAAGTATTTGAAATAGATTAGCCAACTATACTTCAAAAGTATGAAAACCACTCTTTTTAAAACTTTTATTCTTAAAATATTTGGAAATATTTCATACTAATGTAATATAGAGAGAGTAATGCCATAAATGTAAATATACCCAACAATCAACTTATGAAATAAAATATTATCAATATACAAGGTTGAGGCCCTTGTGTTCTTCCCCCAATTTTATCTTCCTCTCTCTAGAGGTACCCGAATTCAATGTTATTAATTCCCATGCACTTTTTAATATTTTACTTCATAAACCTGCATTTATAATGGCATTTCTTGGGCCGACCCCATGGCGCACTCGGGAGAGCGCAGTGCGGGCGACACCAAGCAAAGGGTTGCGATCCCCTTACCGGTCACATAAAGGACAAAAAATAAAATAAAAATTTTAAAAAAATGGCATTTCTTTTTACAAAATATACAACTAAATACCTCATTTTTAAAAACTTACTTTAATGGTTTCAAAATATACCATTCTTTTCTGGTTTCCTTTTTTTGGTTTAATGTTTTGTTGTGAAAGTTAAAAATGGGTATGTTCTTAGAATATAAAAAATGGCATTTCTTTTTACAAAATATACAACCAAATACCTCATTTTTAAAAACCTACTTTAATGGTTTCAAAATATACCATTCTTTTCTAGTTTCCTTTTTTTGGTTTAATGTTTTGTTGTGAAAGTTAAAAATGGGTATGTTCTTAGAATACCAGTGTATGAATATAGCACAATTATTTATCCAGTCAACTATTAGGAAACATACAGATTATTTCAATTTTTTTGAAGCAATGAATGCTGAAATTAACTTTCAGTAGATGTGACTTGGACACATGTATGAGCGTTTCTGTAGGGAATACTCTTCATAGTTGAGTCCCTAAGTCAATAGAGAACATACACCTTTAAATTACTAGATATGGTCAACCGTTCTTCAAAGTGGTTGTCCAGATTTGCATTCCCACCGTAAGTTTTTGGTTGTTCTACATCCTTATAATATTCAGTATAGTCAGAGATAAATTGTAAATAATTTTACTGGTGAGAAATGCTATCTCATTATGGTCTTAATTTGCATTTCCCTGGTTACTGGTCATGGAGCACACTTTTAATGTTTACCGCCCAGATTGTCATGGAGACTATTATTCCCCAGTATGATCACTCCAATTTCTCAAACTCCATTAGGGCCAACACAGAGATTCAAACATCTAATGTCCTAAGATATGATATAGAAAATTTTCCCAAGGATGAAATTATTCCTTGAGTCAGTTAAGTTATTTCAGGTTAACAAAACCTGATTCCTGCCAACACTTTTATCGTGTCATTCTCATTGGTGGCAGCCTCTGAAAAACTCTGGTTTTTCTGGCTGTAGAAAGAATGACAATAAACCGTAAGACATTGAAGTTAAAGACAGGCTAAGTTATGAGGAAAAATAGAACAATACTCTGGCTAAGGTTGGCTAATCACAACAGAATTTGGTGAACTCTGGAAAGAAGCCTACATTGACAATGTCTGTGTTGCAGTGCTGTGCTAAGGGATAGAACTGGGTCCTTTTTAGGATTCTCCTGCTCTTCTTTCTGTGCCTAAGTGAGGAACCCATCCAGAGCTTTCAGAGTCTTTCCACTGTCAACACAGAAATTTACAAGAAAAAGTACTTGTTATGTTTTCTAAAGAGTTAAAATGACTACAATTGTATCTCTTGCAAATATCTCATCAGTAAATTATTTCCAGTAGAAGCAGCTAGAAAATTCCTCCTGAATCTATCCTTGGTGCTAAATGGGTATGACTGAGCCCTGGGAATATATTTTCTGCCCTTTCCATAATTTGAATTATCATTTGCGAGCTGTATTATAGCATGCTTCCTGCCTCCACTCATTGCTTTGTATCGTCAGTACTTTACTCCCATTATAGGAATTTCACAAATTATTGATCTATAGATCTTCAGGATTTTCCCCTTGCGATAGTCCAAGTAAAACATAGCTGATGTAAGTGATTAAATTTGTCATTGATTTGGTAACATACAACTGATAGCTTTTTTGGGAAAATGGTGTGGGTATCTATATTGATATTACTTTTGAAAGATTTTATTTCATAAGTACTGAACAGCTGAGGAGGAGGTCATTTAGTTCAAGTTTGACAACAGAAAATTGCTCCATATCAGAGACTTGATTATTGCATTCAGTTGATTTCTTTATGGCTCAAGGACCAGCTTTCTACCACTTGCTTTGGTGGAAAAATGTCTAGATCTAAGAGATTAAACCATGGAAAAGTTTTCTTCACATTTAACCTAATTGTCTCATTTATTATTCAGACTTCTTTTGTCTTCATGTCTTACATGTTTGTTAAACCTCACTAGTCAATATAGTCCAACCACAGACATGATGCTTTAAAATAATGGACATGCCAGTTTGATAATTGATATTGCTTTCTGTTGGATCTATTTTTTCCCCTTGCCCTTTTTTTTGTACATTTTTAAAATTGATTATGTACATTTGTGGAGTACAAAGCTGACTATCACCAACTGTACCCAAGATGTGATGATCCGATCAATACTATCAGCATGCCCATTATTACCACAAATTGCAATTCTTCCTTTTGAGTCTATTTAGAAGTGTGTGCATGTATATTTTGCACTTGTCCTGAGGTGAGCAAAAATGGAAGTAGTATTTTTAAGATGAATTTTCTCACTTATAATACCCATTTGTAAAGACCTGACTATTTTCTGTTTGTAGGATGAACTCTTTACATGTGCTTCTGATCCTTTCTAATTGTGTATCATGTTGCAAATGCGTAGCTGGTTAATTTGTAAAGACCTGACTATTTTCTGTTTGTAGGATGAGCTCTTTACATGTGCTTCTGATCCTTTCTAATTGTGTATCATGTTGCAAATGCGTAGCTGGTTCGGAGTTCCACAGCTTGCGTCTCTCTAGATCTGATGGACTAATGCTGGCTGTTGTCTCCCTACAGGTTATCCAGGCTGTCTTTTTTGGCATCTGTGTGCTCACTGACCTTTCTAGTCTTCTGACTAGAGGAAGCGGGAACCAAGAGCAAGAGAGGCAGCTCAAGAAGCTCATCTCTCTCCGGGACTGGATGTTAGCTGTACTGGCCTTTCCCGTTGGGGTTGTGAGTATGATGTAGAATACATTTAGCCACATGAGAAACTTGGGTCTTATTTCTGATTTCTAAGAGATAAAAAGAAGGCTCATTATAGGAGGTTTCTATATTAGTTTCCTAGGGCTGCCGGTATCAGCATTTGGAGGGTGTAAACAACAGAAATTTATTTTCTCACAGTTCTGAAAGCTGGAAGTCCAAGATCAAGATGTCATCAGGGTTGGCTTCTTCGGAGGCCTCTGTGGCCATGGCTCGTAAGTGGCTGCCTTCCTGCTGTCTTCACGCTGTTCTCCCTCTGTGGCTGTCTGTGCCTTAGTTTTCTCTTCTTTTTTTTTTTTTTTTTCCTTTTTGTCTTTTTTCGTGACCGGCAACGGGATCGCAACCCTCGGTGTTGCTCCTGCACCGTGCTCAGCCAGTGAGCGGCCGGTCTGTATGTGGGATCCGAACCCTTGGCGGGAGCGCCGCCGCACTCCCAAGCGGCACACTGTAGCAGTGCGCCACCGGGCCGGCCCCACTCTTTTTATAAGGATACCAGTCATATTGGATTAGGGCCCACCTAATGGCCTCATTTGACCTTAGCTACCTCTTTTAAGGCCCCATCTCCAAATACAGCCACATTCTGATGTTCTGGGAGTTAGGACTTCAGCACAGGAATTTTGCGGGGACATAATTCAGCCCATAACAGTTTCTTAAGCTGCCCAAGTTTGAAATGTATAGTCCTTTGGTCATCCATTCTAGTATTTTTGAATTTGAGAGAGGAAATCAGCATTAGCTCATACTTCTCCACTTAACCAACTGTGCAACTAGCCAGTATCACTTAAGTAAATGCTGCTTAATGTTCGCTGTGTTCTGGCTTCATTGATTTTCATCGTGTTCACTTAGATTCCCTCCATAGCTCAACTTCCTTCATGAGTCTGTTAATTGTCTATCGTCTGCACATAAACCATGTTCCTTGAAAGGCCCCATGAGACTTCAGATTTTACCCTGAGAACAGGCAGGAGAAGAGTGAGAGAGCTCATGTATCTCAAATTGTGAGGACTGGTAAGAGTTTGTTACCTACTTTAAATTCAGATCTTTCTTTGCCAGCTGATTTCTGGGAAAAATAGAAGCCCCAGTGACATGGGCTGGCTCAGGCACCAAGTCCAAGGTCTATTGTAGGAAGAGTCAAAAAGTTGTTCCTTAAATCCTTCCAATGGCTCTTACTCATACTTGCCAGGTATCTTGGCTGGCAGCGGCCTCACATACTTGCTCTAAGACCAATTAGTAGGCACCCTGATTGTCGATGAATTGCTTTTTCTATGTGTTGATTTATATTTTTTTGGGTGAAATAGTCCTTAGCTCTTGAGAACAATACAAGGGCTAGGGAAGCATGATAATCTGGTCACCCTCCTCTTCTCATTCCTTCCCCCCTGTCTTCTGAAAACCCAAAGAAATGGGTGCTCAGACTGAAGCCATACAGAAAATTGCCCAAATTCTGTTGTTTAACATAACAGAGTTAAATGCTTTACGTATTTTTAACATTTTCTTTTTTGTCCTTCCCTTATAAAATTCAAATACTATCTGAATAGTCATCTAAGGGACCATTTCCATTTGCATAAAAATATTATCTAGAAAGCGTAAGTCTCTGTGTGTGTGTATATGCATGTATATACAAGTATACACACACATATGCGTGCACACTCACACACGGGGTTTTCAAAAAGTTTATGGAAAGATTTGTATTAGCTTTAACTGTATTTGTCCATGAGCTTTTTGAAGTACCCTCATATACATTTTTATTACTTACTCCCTTGGAATTTCTATAGGAGTGTCACTACCTCTGGAATTCTTCATTGGCTAGAAAGAATACAATAGTAATACAATAAAAAAGTAAACAGTAATACAGTATTAGCATGTTTTCTCTTAGCTCCACCTCTCCTTCTGTTATGTGGTGTCAAACCGTGACTCTTCAGGGAAGTATCAATTTATACTGTAAATCTTGCCACTGTCCTCAAAGGCTCATCACATATGCCATTTAGAAATGTTAGACATTCCTTTGGGGGAACTTTTTGCACCTGCTTGAGACTTGAGGTATTTGTCAACTTCCAGTGTCCTTCCTGCACTTACTCTATGTATGCTTCATGGTTTGTAAGGGAAGTGGTGGCTTTTTTGTTTGCTTATTTATTTTGTCACAAGTGAGATTTTCTTCCATATTTCACTGTTTTTTGTTGGCTTGTCTATGTTTTGGAAGAAGGGAGAAGAATAAAAATACCTTTTATTCCCCTCCCCACCTTTTCCCGGAAGTCACAGCATGACATTTCATGACGTGTGTGCACCTTTCCTAGCGTTGCTCCCGGGCCTCGCTCAGCCAGTGAGCGGGAGCCGGTCCGTATGTGGGATCCGAACCCTCGGGCGGGAGCGCCCCCGCGCTTCCCAAGCGGCGCACTACCCAGTGCGCCACCGGGCCGGCCCTTGCCTGCTGATATTTTATAGTTGCTAATTTCCAATCTTCACAGTTCTCCCTGTTACTGTGAGTCACTTTCTCCTTTATAGTCACTAGCTTATTATTTTTCCTGAACTTTTTGAAGTTCATTAGGTTTCTTTCTCTCCTTCTCTCTGTCATATTAAGAAGAATCTTAGCATTTTCTAGAAACTGCCTCATGTTTTCCACTGTTGGTTCTTCTGTTTCTATATTACATTGTCATTTGACTTTTTGTATCTATTTACCCAAATTCCCACCAGATTCCTCACTCTAATACACATTTATTTTGAGGCAAAAAAAAAACTGGTAAGTGGCTTTTTCCCATTTCCCATTAATTTTATTGTCAAGTCATATTTACAGAGAATATGCATTTGGCCCTCCAAAATTTTTTTCATTAAAATATTTAATTGTGTGATGTTTTTTGCCTTTCTTTCCCTAAGGTTATTTCCCAACTTTCCTTTCCAATGTGCCTATCTTTGCTGTGACTCCAGAGGCTTCCCCCTGCTCCTTCTGTACCTTTCTTCATATCCCCTAACTGCTCAGAAGGGTCTAGAATCCCACTGTAGTTTTATTCTTATGACTGAAGACTTTTTTCCTTATTAAAATGCAGACCCTGTCTGGAGCAATGCCACAGGGAATCACTTGAAGAGGCATTGTTGTTACTCTTCCTGAGGCTTCTGGCCTGGAAAGGGGGGTGCTGGGCCTGGAATGGGGGGTGCTGGGCCTGGAATGGGGTTGCTGGGCCTGGAATGGGGATGCTGGGCCTGGAGGGCCCATTACATCAGAAGGATGGGAATAGCCTTAATGTTCAGGACCTGGTGGACATGCAATTATACCTGCAGGAATTTGTAGTATAAAAATGCTATTATGTGTGCAAATGATTAATTATAACACTTATAAGTAAACGCCTTTTGCCATTTTGGTTAATGCAGTCAAAAATCCTAAAGGGCGACACACGCACGCCCCTTCCCTGTACCAGGGGAGCATTGGCATGGCTGGAGCCTCCTGCAGTGGAAGGTGAAGAACCCCCTGTGGTCCTCAGAAGTCCTGCCTGCTCTGCCGCCCTGACAGCCTGGGGACGGCCAGCCACGCTTTCCTGCTGCTTTCCGCTGGCTTCCTCCGCCTCAGTGCTTTTTTCTGTCAGTCAGAAGTTTCCCAGGAGAGTGATGCTATTTTTGCTTCTTGGTGCAGGCAAAAAGGCAACGGGCATAAAAGAGGGCAAAGAGTGGTGGCTGAATTTATGACTTCCACTCAAATTTTCCTAAGAGACCTCTTGGCCCTGAGCTTTTCGTGGTGCCCCCATTATCTCTGTCTCTTTCTCTCTCTCTCTCACCTCAGCTGAAACTATGGCAGCAAGAAGACATGGCTGGGCTATCTAGGATTTGTATTTTCTACATTAATGCTTCCTTCAGTAACAAGGTTAATTGAGAGTTGACAGTAATTGCTGTATGTGAGCATGAAGCTCTCAATGTGATTTGGTGACCCATGGACCTAATGCATCTACTTCATGGTTTCTCTTTATCTCAAGGATACAGAAAAATGATGAAATATTCCAATCAAAGAGAATTGGAGTAAAGTTTGGTTTCGGTATAACCTTGAAGAAATCAGGCAGGGTGGCTTGCGTGAACATAGCATGTATCCTCCTGATCTGTGCAGATTCCCATAAATGCCAAGCTGGCCTTGATTAGGAACACTAATGGCCGGAAACCACCACCACTCCCAAAGCCTTGCAACTCATTTTGCAGGGATAACTCAGGGGAGGCTCTTCTTACCATGTGCAGTTTATTTCTGAACCCTGTCACCCTTTTAAAGAAGCATTACAAATAATTCTATGACATTATGTGGTCTGGAAGCACTGAAGTTTATTAGGAGCAATCAAACCAAGAATGCCTTTTGTCTCCTGTGAGTTTGTTGACTTTTGTACTGGCAGATACTATTATAATACTTAAGAGAGTAGGCCTAGGCTTTTAACCAAAATAAAAGGGGTGGGGGACTGGAGGTGAGTGGTGAAAAAAACAAATGCGTATGATGAGTGTGAAAGGGCCCCAAACATAAATCCTAAACGTTGTCTCCAACTGCTGTCCAAAGAAAATTATACACTTTCCATTCATTCCAGTCTATGCATCCTGTTCATTTGTAGCTGCTCAGATTGAATAATACATGTAATCCAACGTTGCCACCTCACCAGTATCCTTGGTGCTCGGGTTGCTTGGGGTTGCTCTGACCCCAGTGCTGGCCAGACCCATCCCCCTGTGAAGATGAAGAGGTCACTCTGAGTGGGTCTGAAGAGGCTCTGGAGCTTTGGATCTCTTCTATTCTGGGATGGGCGTCCAGAGTATGAGGCGCCAACCAGAATGTGCCTGTGTAAACTTTTCTGGAATTTGACCTTCTTATCTGAATTTAGTCTCAAAGCTATTTGTTAAGTAGCAGTTTCTGGTGTTATAATCAGGTCATGTAAAGATTCGGTGAAGGTTTCATATGCACCATCCTATTCTAGAATAGTTTAATATGTGTTTGTACTTGTAAGCTATTTGTTAAGTAGCAGTTTCTG